CATGGAGGTGTCGACATGGCTTATGGTACATTTTTCATGGATGGGGAAATGTATTGTTATTAAGCAGAAAATTCTGCCTTGTATACTTTACTTCTCCAGACGATCCGGATCCATATTCCTGTAACCTACTTTAAATCTCTCCAATCATTCTTGAACAACTTTGGTCCTCCAAAACAGCACACCTGGAACATACTTTTACACAAACTGAAAACCTTAAGTGGCATGGCACTCCTGGATGTCCAACTATAACATAATTACTTAGAACCCCCAAACATTATACTGTATACCGTATTTTTTGAAAGAAAAGGCCCTGGATGAAAATCTGTGTAGTGCCCTCTGGTGTACATACAGTAGTTGATTGTATAGTTAGAGGCTTATTAGAAGCCTGGGTGCGAGTCAGTGAGTTTACTTTAGGGCCGGCTGGAGGGCTCTACAGATCAGGTCTTTGGTACCTCCCCCTGGTTCCAAAAGCTTGAAGAAGTTTCTAGAAACTAGTGGGTGGGGGCTAGAAGGTGCTGATCTGCATATTCATGGTAATATGGCCAATCCCCAGGCAGGTGGCCTGGCAAGGTGTCCGAATCAGCCAATAAATATGAGAGAGCCTGGCCAGCAGAGGATTAAGGTGGAATATGGAGTGTTGAGGTATGCTGCTGTGTAGCGTGGGAGGGGACCCTGGAGGAGGCTGAAGGTTGGAAGAATAGGAGAATTACAATGGTATGGTGAGATATGGGTCTGTAGCTGTCATCATCCCTTGAAGCTAACAAAGATGAAAGAAAGAAATATACTATATGGGTGGGAATAACCCACCCATAAAGGATATTTTTTTTCTTTGAGGAATAGGAGATGGACATTGGCAGAGGGAGCTCAACTGTCCTGCAGTCTACTAAGGAAGGACAGTCTGCAATCTGGGAAAGAAACTAGCTCAGTGAAAGGCCTGGAAGCAGTTTACTCAAAGCTACAGGACACAAGGACAGTGTGAATACTTCGACTCCCCCAGGGCCTACAAGAGAGAGGGCTGCTAGGTGCTATACCCAACCAGTTCTCACTGGTACAGTGCTACAAGTCTGTTCTAGAATTTCTTGCTCTGGGATACTCTTTAAAGGCAGCCAGGTGGATGGGCAGTTTCTAGATGGGGTCTGATGAGGTTCATATACAGAGGGGACCAAGTGCTCCTTACAGAGACTGTTACTGATCCATCAAGTAACTGGTGCCTCTCCGGAGGGAGTAGAAAGTCCAGGATCCATCCTTTTTGTACAGAATTTAGGATAGGAAGTTTATTCTCAAAGTTATTATTCCAATTCAAGTTGGGCATCCCATATACCCCTAGACCATATCCAAGTTGTTTATCCCAAATAAAACAACAAAAACAAGCCCATGGACTAGTTACTGACTCTGAAAGGAAGTTGGAAAATGCGTGTTGCCTGGTTGTGCAGGGATAAAGGAGACCCAAATTCAGCGGCTCTTAAGGAACTAGTGCTACATCTGCATAGGCGATGCTTTAAAAGACTTTATAGGTTACCAATTTACAGTTAAACAGGAGGTCTGGTGTTTGAATTAATGAAACCATAAAAACTTCAGCGCAGTCACTGAAAAGAAGAATATAATGCTACCACTTATTTCACTCTAATAAAAGTGCTATATGATAGTAAATACAACTATTATGAATAATCTAGTGACCATAAGGCAAAGTGACAGCATCCACAGTAAAATGCCAGTGACTGTTAGCAGGCCTGCTTCCAGAAATAATCCAATGCCTCCAATCTGAGGGTACTGTGGAATCCCCAGTGAGTGAAAACAACTATCAAGGAACAGGTGAGCTCACTGTGGGTCCTCAGAACCTGATGGCAAGGATTCGATTTGAAGTGTAGAGAGCTCTTGTTTATAATTGACCAATGTCCCTTTAAGAATACTGTGGAGTCTGAGCATGCTTGTTGGGGCCCATTTCGTACTAAATAATAACCAACAATAAAAAAATGCATGTACTGCTGCTAACACATCTTGTGTTCCCACAAGTGAAAATGATATAAATAAATAAACCTCTGTGACAGTGTCACACAGTATAAAGTGCATTAATCCCTCTAAAATATAAACTGCATTGTTCTAACAAACATGTACCAATGTTGAGAATATTTTAATCTTTTAATAAAATATTGGTACCCACACGGAGAGCACTATATATCTTATTATTTTTGTAGAGAATCTCATGTGTATATCGCAGGATTGCGGAGGATAGAGATGGATTGAAATCACCAGTGGAGAGGAGGAGAAAGAACCAGGATAAAGAAGACCCCACTATAAGGGGAAGGCACATGAGACCTAACTTTGGGTCAAAGCATCCAGGTGAGAGCATATGGAAATAGGTGATGGGAGAGATGCACCTGATGTTTGAATTATTGCTCTCACTCTGACGTTCATAACGATACCTCTTATGTGTGGTGCAATCACCATGTACATATTTGTGCAGAACCTACATATGCATTCTCTTTTGCATTTTAGCACTGAATGGCTTTTTTATTATTTTTGTAGCACTGGAGGAACTTCCATATATCATACTTTATATTGGTCCATCGGTCCTCTACAGATCTGGGTCCCTGAGCGCAGGAGGTGTTGTATCTGTGTTACTGGTCTTTCTAGAAATTCTGTTGTGCTGGAAGGGTAAATTGTTGTTTCAGTTGGCACTGCTGTAATTTGGCCTGCAGCTGTGTGTCCTATCAGCTTGGGGAAGATGAGACTGTAATGCAGACGTATCCCAATGATGGTGCCTGGGAGAACTAGGCTGCAAACTGGGGCAACTATGTGTAATGCCCACAACTACGTGCGGGTAGATAGCTGATATGATTAAACTGTCAGTGTTCACTTAGTCAGTGGGTGTACCGGACTCTCTCGCCAGGTCAATGATATCCGGCAGATCGTAGCAGTCCATCTTTCTCTGCAGATGGGGGCCCCCACAGACTCTCTGGTCCTGGTCTGGCATCCTGCTGAGTCTCCTGCTAACAGATTGGCTCGCTGGGCAGCGTGGCAAGACTGACAATCAGCAGTCTCTTTCCACTCCTCCTCCCTCTCTCCAACTTTGGCTCCGTGGCCTGGTTCAGCACTCCAGCCGTCAGCACACCACCTTCTCTCTTGATCTCTCCCCTCAGTCTCCCAGGCTTTGATATTTATATGCCCTGCCCACACGCAAGCTTCTCTGGGAAATGTAGTTTCCCAGTGTACTGTTCTTCAGTAAAGTCCTGCAATTCAGCATACAAGTTCCACATGACTATTTTTCAATATGTGATTGCAACTGTTCTGTAGAACACTGCCATCTTGTGTTGGTTTCAACATTTTGCATTAGACATTTATAGTAGGGTGTTACATTTATTAATTATTTTACTTAAATTTTGTTTTACATTGTCTTTTTACATTTTTTTTATCAACTTTATTGCTATCACAAGGAATAAACAGCATAATTTATGATAGCCTGGGCAGTGACAGGCCCTCTTTAATGAGACATCTGGGGTCTATTAGAACCCATATCTCTCCTCTGCCCTCCAACGCCTCTGATCAAACTGAGATTTACTAATAGAACACACAGAGGGGTAGATTTACTAAAACTGGTTCACTCAGAATCTCGTGTACCTGTGCATGGTAGCCAATCAGCTTCTAACTTCAGCTTGTTCAATTAGGCTTTGGTAATAAAACCTGGAAACTGATTGGTTTCTATGCAGCGTTGCACCAGATTTTGCACTCTCTAGTGAATAGTGTACCACAGTAACATTAGTGGTGCCAGTGGGAGGAAAAAAATTCCACTGTATCATGGTGTCATTGGGTTAATAAAAAGGGAAAGGTGCAGAGAAATACAGAGGGAAAGAGGGGCATATCCATCTTGTATACTGAAAAATCAACCACCTCTTTCTAAAGTAGGTGAACCATAGTGGCATGATGACAAGTAGGGGTCGGCCAGTCAACAGAGCGAGGACACAGTGATGGCACAATGACAGGTGTTGCACATTACAAAACACAGTATTGAAAGTATTATATCTGGGATCAGATGTGCAGAAGTCAGTAGAGATGTGCATGATGAAAAAAAATGGTCTTGTTTTGTTGCTGATTCATTCTTTAAGTTAAACATTTCATTTTGTCATATTCGTTATGCTAGAATGACTATTTTTCGGAATTAATTTCATATATCTGGATTCATTTTGTATATTAGTTGTTGTGAATCGATTCCTATTTTCCAAAGATTCTGATTCATTTGTTATGTTATGATTCAGAGATTCTGATGGGCCCACCTCCATTTACAATATGTAAGAATCAACTTATTTCACTTTTATACAATAAATAATTAAATAAATAAATAAATAATCTTTCTTCAAAAATGTAGGCCAAAATGTATTCTGCTACATTTCTTTGGTGAAAAAAACACAATCGGTGTTTATTATTTAGTTTGTAGGAAAGTTATAGAGTCCACAAATGTCAGTACAGTACAAATATTGCCCCAAAAAACAAGGAAACAGTATACAGGGTACTCACCGCTCAAGGCTAACCTGCAAGAGATTCTATGCTGCTGGATGTGTCAGTGTACCTACCGTATTTGCCGGCGTATAAGACGACTTTTTGACCCTTGAAAATCTTCTCAAAAGTCGGGGGTCGTCTTATACGCCGGTACACATGTTTAGGGGGGCTGCGGCATTAAGTACAGGGATTTGCAGGGGCTGATGTCTCTTACCTGGATCCAGTCCCACGACGATCCGGTCCAGGTAGCGTGGCGTCTCCTTCAGTTCGGCCACTGGATGTTCGTGCGGCTGCTCGGCTCCGCCTCCTCACCGGTGATTGGCCGCCAGAACTGTAGCTCAGGAAAGGCACACAGGCGGCCAATCACTGGCGAGGGGGCGGAGCCGAGCGGCCCCGCGAAAATTGAGTGCCGGAGCAGTAGGTAAGTGTTCTGTGTAGAGGTGCTGCTGCAACCACATATGCTGGCTGCAGCAGCACCATACGAGAACAGGGTCAGCAAGTCTCAGTGGGAGGAATAGTGCCCCATCATTGGTGTCACTGATACCAATGATGGGGCACTATTCCTCCCACTGACACCAACGATGGGGCACTATTCCTCCCCCCCACTGACACCAATGATGGGGCACTATTCCCCCCCCCACTGACACCAACGATGGGGCACTATTCCACCCCCCACTGACACCAAAGATGGGGCACTATTCCACCCCTCACTGACACCAATGATGGGACACCATTCCTCCCACTGACATCAATGATGGGGCACTATTCCTCCCACTGACACCAATGATGGGGCACTATTCCTGCCACTGATACCAATGATGGGGCACCATTCCTGCCACTGATACCAATGATGGGGCACCTATTCCCCCCACTGATACCAATGATGGGGCACTATTCCTCCCACTGACACCAATGATGGGGCACTATTCCTCCCACTGACACCAATGATGGGGCACTGTTCCTCCCACTGACACCAATGATGGAGCACTATTCCTCCACTGATACTAATGATAGGGCACTATTCCTGCCACTAATGCCAATGATGGGGCACTATTCCTGCCACTAATACCAATGATGGGGCACTATTCCTCCCACTGACATCAATGATGGGGCACTATTCCTCCCACTGGTGTGCATTGGAAGAGGGGTAGTCTTATACGGCGAGTATAGCCCAAACACTACATTTTAGCAGGAAAAGTAGGGGGGTCGTCTTATACGCCCAGTCGTCTTATACGCCGGCAAATAAGGTAATTGGTCCGCAACCACAATCCGTGAACATGAGGAAAAGAAGTAGCGACACTCCAATATACAATATGCACACTCTGCCAGTGTCTATTCATTAGGGAGTGTGGAGTGCATCTGCTGATGTTCCCAGAGCAGTGTGTTGCAGTTGTGTCTTTTTGTTTTCATGAATTGAATGATGGAGAAGACTGCTGTTTGAATATTAGAGTGCCACTACTTCTTTTCCTCATATTCATCCCCCAAAAGACCCCTTTTTGGAAAGTAGACAGTTCAAGATATTTAGTAAGAGGCATGCCAAGTTTTTTGAAGTTGTAATTTTTTGTCATACTTTTTTGGAAAATTAAGAAATTAAAAAAAAAATGTTTTCACATTTTTTTTAGTGACTGTCAGCGCTGCAATACAGCATCATCATATAACTGGTGTGGTGGTGACAGTATGTGAAAAAAAAAATGTTTAAAACATTTTTTTTTTCTTTTTTGTAAAATTTTTTTCTTTTTTTTTTAACACATTGTGACCAGAGATATAATGTTACCATAGGTTTTATTTGTACTTTATGAATTTCACTGGTATAAGCAACCATTATTACTGAATGAAATTGATTCATTCAGTGTGTGTTGTTGTGATTTGCTGTGATTGGTTATGGCTAATCATATGGTACAGATGGGCTGTGATTGGCCTTGTCTGTGTCATATGATCACTGTGACCAATCACAACTAGCAATACAATTGTACACAATAAATGGCATGAATCAAGGACATTCATTGTTTACAATTGTCATGTGATCTTCTGTGACTGATCACAGCGATCACATGGTACCGGCAGTGGCCTGTTACAGCAACAAAGTCAAAAGATCATGTATAAACTGATTTTTTGTGGATACAATCTGAGTTTTCTATTGGCTTTGGAAAATAGAGAATATACATTCTACATTCTACATCATGCACTCAAAATCAGAGAGTATTTCTCTGCGAATGACAGTACTTCACAAGGCAGGTAAGAATTTCAAATTATAAAATTGACAGCACAGAGCCCCAAAGGCAAAGCATTTGGCAGTGTTTTGTGCAAGTGATGTATGGGGAATGCTGAGTGCCAAAGGTATATAAAGGATATTATAGTCTGCATAAATACAAGATCTTCCAACAGATATTTTATGAAAAATAGCAGAACATGGTATTTCAGAAAGCAGGGGAAGGAAGAGCTTTGCAGGTGAATTAAAGTCTATGTGGATTAAAATTGTACTACCATTGCTGCAGGTGCAGAAGCAGATGTTGGTTCTACAAACATATTGAGAAAAGTTACTGCTAACAGTAAAAATGGAAATATTCAGTAGTTTGTGTTACTTTTTAGGCACACCACGTCCAATATGTTTTTCCTCTCTAACATTTTTAAAACATTGCTTCTATTAATGGTTATAGTAGAGTCTTAAAGTGGATTTTTCTTTTACAGAGGTAAGAGAATGATGCCTGTTTCTGTTTACACTCCAGTAGAAAGCAATATTCAAGGCCATTGTCTACATTGTGCACAGAAATGCTAGCTCATCTTGGCCTAACGTCCGTCATAAACACAGACTATGGACTGAAAAAAAAAAAAAATCAGATACCTTGCTCCATGCTAAACCATACAAATGGGTGAATCTCCTACTTTAGCAATTGTATTCTGACAGCCTGCACTTCCAGCTGTCAAAATATCCAAACAGTGGATGCAGACACTATTGGTCCGATGATTATCAATCAAAGGATGTTGGGAGGGAGGGTGTTAATCCGTGCATAAAATTTCATCCTTGCCATCAGGAACATCTATGCCATTTCTTTATATTGTAACATTTCTGGAGTTTAATTACAAGCACTTTGAGAAGATGGTGGCAGATTGTGTAATTCAAAAACTTCTTATTCATTTTCTTAGGGTCCCTGGGGGTGGGCAAAACATCTATTGTATTTTTTTCCAATGTTGAACCAAACAATGTGATTGTGACACTACTGGGAGACCTAAAGCTTAGCCAATTCTTTTGTAGTGACAGGAACTTGGGCAGGTAAAATATGTACTTCTTTAGCTTCAAAGGTTTGAAGGTTGGATGTTAATGTACTGTATAAGCATCTACTAATTTTTAAAAATTTTAATGGTAGGCTTAGCTTCAAGCAAATTCTTATATTCAAAAGTAGGGAAATATAAGAGGGGATTCTTGAACCTGTGTAATCTGTTGTCTTCTAAACTGCCTTTGTAAAATTATCTTTTAACATCTTGGCCTACTATAATCATAATTCAGTGATCCATTTAATTTCATTTTCTGCTAACTTTGGCAAGAGCATATGATATCACATGCTAGCAAATAACAAATAATGGTACACAGTTTGTTTGGGGATGTTTCAATTAATTTCAGCCTGTAACAAAATCCATTACCCGTACCTCCAGCAAAAGAAACAAATGTCGGTTTCCTTAGCTCAGCAATTTAAAACAAGTCTGCTGAGTCAAATGGCCTACGAAGGATTTAAGCTTCATAAAATGACTGTCCCTCCTCTTGTAAACTGTGGAAATTCAATGTACCATAAAAGATTGAATCTTTCATTAAAGCATCATCTTTTGAAATTCATTTCCATTACTGTGGCTGAAAGAGCTCTCTAAATGCAAAGTATCGACTTAAATCAGAGTTCAGTTAAAAATCTCACCTTATTTTTTTTCCATTTCAGAATAAAGAAATATTTAGTGAGTGTGACAGTACAAAGTGAAGTAATAATGCTTTGAGGGGAGTCCTTCTTCCAAGGCATCCGTGGGCACGTTTTTCATCCTGTGTTTTCATTAACAGGTCATTCCGAGATACACATTGTTTCTATGTGTAGGCGACAGAGGTGAATAATGAGTGACAAGGTCATTTTCCATGCCAATAAACACCCCCCTGTTTCCTATTGAAAACCAAAATTGGGTGTTAGAGGGGAAAAAGGCTTAGCTTAGCTATCTCGCCAGTCAGTCTACACTATGTATCGGAGAAAATTACTGATGTCCACTTGAAATCTCTGCAAGGTCATTCTATCTTCTAAGGTGGAAAGGCCAAGCTTGATTCAATAGTTATCTAATAATATTACACTGCTCGTTTCAAGGAAGTTTTTTCATCTGGTGTTTCATTACAGCGTAGAGAAATGATGGTGCTGTATAGGTAAAGCTAATAAAATGGTGGAGTCTAAACACACACACACCCAGCAGATAACATAAAGGAAGAGGTATAGTTGTAGAAGCAGCATCTTCCACTACAAAAGATCCATTTGTTTCATCTTCCAGATGCTACATTATTACAGTGATTCTTCGAAATGATGCTTTTGTAATTCTGTGATAGATTGCTAAGCCTATTACTTTTAAAGCGGAGCTCCACCCAAAAAGGGAAGTTCCGCTTTAAGGACTGCTCCCCCGCTCCACATTAAGGATTGGCACCTTTGGGAAGTGGGGGGGGGGTTTATGTGACAGGTACCCGCTCCCACCTCCAGTCCAATCGCCTAGGCGATCGGAAGCGGAAGGTGTCCTCCCTCCCTGTAGTCTTTTAGGACACGTGACAGGTCCCAGAAGACTACAGGACCATTCACAAAGCGCAGCGCTACTCATGCATGCACAGTGGGTACCCGCTGCAAGCTATCACAGCTGGGTGCCCACACTGAAGATGCCGGCCTCCTGGAGTACAGGATGGCCGGTGAAACGAGCTGCGGGGGACACACCACTGGACCAAGGGACAGGTAAGTGGCTGTGTATTAAAAGTCAGCAGCTACAGTTTTTGTAGCTGCTGACTTTTACTTTTTGGTAGGTCGAGTGGAACTCCTCTTTAAGCAGCCTAATAATAAAGGGTCAACTGAGATTCTTGTCTTGTTCTTCCTCAGTATTCACCAGTTGTCCGTTCATTATTTTTTTTTATAAAACATATTCTTTATTCATATTCTTTATGCTTTAATTATAAAGCATAACATCTATTCAATAGGCAAATTCCCCTTTTTGCTTCCAGATAATTAGTAAAATGAAATGTGAGCTCCAAGGCAGTTTGGTAGCATGCACCCTGCTGTTCCCTTCCTAGAGGATGGTCTACTGTGCATTCTAGAAAGTGAACCTTTGATTTGCTTTGCCAGTCAACCAGTTCAAATGAAATGGCTAGGAAAATCCAACCCAGTACACCGACTCCCATTGGCATTCACACTGCCACTGAAGGGGCACCTACAGACATGAAGCCCTCTTTTGGGGAAGGGGGTTATGAAAAATGGCCCTCCTCATATTGCGGTAAACCCTTAGTAAACAAGAGAACCAGTAGCCTCGCTAAGTGGACCAACAATAAAGTGGGGCTGACAATAAAGTTGGTAGTGCTTTCACCCAG